ACTTCTTAGCCCATGGGAACATAGGCTATCACCCATGGGAACATAACATTCTAACAATAAGCTTTCTGCTTCTGTACCCCCGCTTGCACAACCGACCTGTGGGTTGACAGGTAGTGAGTAAGAGAAAAATAGACCTTTGTGTTTAAGACAGACTGAGGAAGGGGATGTAGGGCTTAAAAACCCTGTACCTCTACATTTTGGGGCTGCTTAATTTGGGGTCTGTATACCCCTGGCAGACCCAGCTGGCTGAATAAAGAGCGTGATTCCAACTCACTAAGTTCTGGTGGTCCGTGTATCTTTCTGGGGCTGGTGGCTACAACAGTTCCAGCCCCTTCTACCACCCTTGCCTGCTCCCACCACCTAGCTCCAGCCCCGGCCCCAGCAGCAGCCGGGAGTGCCACCCCTTTGCGCCACCCCTTCGCGCGTGCTCTGCCTAGTTCCAAGCATCCGGGGAGGATGTCGCCGCTCAGGCCCTGCAGCCTCAGGGCCGGGACAACTGGAGCCGGTGGGTACTCACCTCGCAAACCCGAGCGGACGCAGCGCGCACGGGCGGCCCCACAGGCGCTGGAAAGCACGGATGAGGCTTGCGGCCATGGCTAGGACATCGAAGGGTGACTCGCGGGGCGGAAGCCAACTTCTCGAAGACTCTGGGGCGGAGCACCCGGTGGGGCGGGCTGTGGACGGGGCGGGGCTGCGGAGCAGACCCGAGGAGCAGATCCGAGGAGCAGACCGGAGGAGCAGACCCCAGGCAAAAAAGTCCCGCCGCGGGATAAAACGCCCGCGCGCCGCCCGTAGCAGTGGAGGATTAGCGATCGAAGGATTTAAAAGCAAGCCGTTCTTTTTCTCTGCAACGTTCTGACTTGTTTATCTAAGCAGTTCTTTTTCGAACTCTTGAACCGCCTTGAGACACGGGTGTAAGCCACGGGGCCTCAAAATGGACCCAAACGCAAACCCACAAAAATTTAGACGAAGTGTTTTTTTGTAATATCGAAATGGATTTACTTCACATAGACAACTGTACAACTACTTCAAAGAATTGTGCCGTTATCATTTTTTTTTTCCTGGAAAAAGTGGCCACTTCCTGGAAAATAAAATACATGTATGCAAATAAAACTCTTTAGTTAAATTCTCCAATAATATTTGATTTGAATCTATGTCTTCCCAACGTCTTTTCCCCCAAGTCATCAAATACTGTTTCATAATGTACATTACATTTCATGTCTGAGCTATTGAACTGTATGGTTTGGGTTTTTTGTAATAAGAGATCTCTGAAGATTTTTGAACTCTAAGAGTTTGGAGAATGGATTTCTAAGGAGGTAAAAGTGGGCCAGTAAGGCCATTCTGATCATTGAGGGCAGTTATCACGGACCTGAAAGGGTTCAAGTGAAAAAGATTTTGTGTTACAAACCAAGAACTAACAACTAACTGAATGCAGAATAAATATATACATATATATGCATATATTTATTTATTTATTTATTTATTTTAAAGAAAGTTTAATTTCAGACAGAAGCATGTGAAAATTAGTTGTTGACAGGGGTTGCACAAGGCTCCATGTAGGCTTGCAGACTTGCTGGCTTGTGGCCTTACGCTACCTCCAGCACTAGGAGTGTATGTCGGGATGTTTACTAGTTTCATGGGACCAATGAGGTTAATAAAAAAACACTTCTTCAGTGTGCCTCACAGTGAGCTGAGAATCACTACAGCAGCAGTACTTATTGAATCAGTACAGGATGCTCAACAGGACAAGTAATAACAAATGCTGGAGAGGATGCGGAGAAAAAGGAACCCTCATACACTACTGGTGAGACTGCAAATTGGTACAGCCACTATGGAAAACAGTATGGAGGTTCCTCAAAAAACTAAGAATTGATCTACCATATGATCCAGCAATCCCTCTACTGGGTATTTACCTCAAAGATGTGAAAACCTATATCTGAAAAGATATTTGCACACTGATGTCCATAGCAGCATTATTCACAGTGGCCAGGACATGGCAGCAA